TTTTTAAACCTCCTACCTTTTCTTTGTGTTTGTATAATTCTGAAATAAGGAAAGAAAGAGTTATAAGCAGTGTGTTTCGTGGCATGGATGTGATGCGGAAAACCGTTAAGATCTGCTCACCTGAAGGAAATTAACATCACTGGATGCAATCTCGTTCTCAATGGCAATGACAGCATGGGAGAAGGTGAGGATATCTCTGGCGATGCTGTCAGACTTCTTCTTCACTAGCTCTTTCTTCTCCTTATCGTCTTTCTGCAGAGTGGCCAGACGTTCCTCCTCCTCCCTCCGGAGAAACTCCCGCAGCTCCTCAAACTCCTCTTTGATCTGCTTTTCTGTGGCCTGAGTCTGGTTCTACACATGGGAATATGGATCAATGTAAAAATTCATTTCTAGTCTAATTTTCTTTCTTTATCCATACTTCCTCAAAAGGGACTTGAGGTGCAACCCACCAGCTCATACCAAAACATAATGTCCCAGAAGTGTTCTGTTGGACTTATGTTAGGCGAGAGTGAGGGTCAGTCAGTGGTATCAGTTCCTTCGTGTTGCCACTGCCTAGCCAATGGTGCCACTCCCTAAACATGATTGTTTCATCATGACATTCACACCAGTGGGCTGCTGGAGGTTATTTCGTAGGACTCTGGCAGTGCTCATCCTGTTCCTCTTTGCTCAAACGAGCAAATAGCAGTCCTGCTGACAGGTTAAGGACTTTCTACGGCTCTGTCCACCTCTCCTAGAATAACATCCTCTCTCCTGGAATCTCCTTCACGCTACTGAGACTGCGCCGGGAGAGACAGCAAACCTGAAAATGGCACATTGATGTACCATCCTGGAGGATCCGGACTACCTGTGCAATCTGCACAATCCGGGTATTGCCTCAAGCTACAAGTAGTGACACTGACCCTAGACAAATGCAAAACTATTGAAAACCAGAAAAGAATGGAACAAATGTAGGTGGCCTCCACTTTTAAAACCATGTTTTTGGATGGTTGCCTCACTGTTGCCCATCTAGAGTACCTGTTGTTAATCTAATTAGCACCAAGGCAACTGAAACTGACCATCAACCCTCTCTGCTACTTAACTGACCAGATCAGTATCCTGGAAGTTTATCTGATTTGATGTTAGACATTAACTTTTTTGAGAAGTATATTTCACCTGCTCTGAGACATCAGCTGACATATTTACACACTTAACATTGCACTGCACAACTTCAGTCACTGTTACGTCAACTTCAATGTCCTCTAGTGTTTCGTGGTATCTGAGTGTTTATTGATACCTTGATGTGCACAGTTGTGTCATCACACTCCTGCTTGGCTTCATAGAGGCAACGCAGGTTTTTCTTCAGAGGAATCAGCTCATTTTTCAGCTCTGCCTGAAGAGCGAGGATAAAGAGTCATATTTATCTTATTGTACATTGAACAATGTTAACAGTTTTCTCAGTTTGCAAAAGTATCACCTTCTTCAATTTGAAAGCAGTAAAGTGACATTTTCAAAGGAGGACTAAAAGGTCAAAGGTAGTTTGCTTAAATGGCAAATAGTTCAACTGTATTTATGCAGCTCCAATTAAGAATAGCAGGTGCTTATTTCATAAGGTGAAAACCGCACACTATACGAAAGAGAGCTCCAATTATTATGTGAACTTCTATAAGCAAGCGCTTGGTGATAGCAGGAAGGAAGAACTCCCTTTTAACTCCTTCCAGCATAACAAGGATCTGTGCGGAGTAGACATCTGCTAAAGCTGGATGTGGGTAACAGGAAAGGGAACAAAAGTACAATACCTTAAGATCCTGAGCACCTTCTTCTATGGGACACACTCGATGTCCGAGGTGCTTCTTGGAGGTGTGACACACACAGCACAGGACTTCAAAATCATCCAGACAGAAGAGTTTGAGAACTTCCTCATGTGTACTGCACTTAAAATCTACTGTCACTGCTTGTTTCCCTGTATCACCAGCCCCAGTTCCCGCTGTGGCTCCCCTGCACCCGTGCTCCTTCAGGAAGGTTTCGGCCACATTCTTCAGAGCCAAGCTGACTGTGGGCTCAGTCAGAGAGCACTTCCTCCTGCAGACAGGACATTCACGCCTGGCCTTCTTCTTGTTCCAGAACTGCTTAAGACAGGCCCGACAGAAACTGTGGCTGCACTTGAGCACTACCGGGTCCTTGAAGATTTCACAGCATATAGGACAGGAGAGCTCATCTTCCAGCATGGAGCCTGACTGTGACGAAACAGCTCGAGGTCGCAGGAACGAATTTAGCTTAGAACTCTGAAAGAAGGTAAGCTTTAAAGGCTGGGAGGAAGCGCGTGGGCGCAACGCCATGGTTCTTGATGTAGGGTGTGTGGGAGGGGGAGCTGCTGTCTGTAAGTACCCTGCAGGGAGTCCAGAGAGCAGTCTGGACACAGTTTATGAGCAACCAAGGTTATAGAGCAACAGGGACTTGAAGAACTTGTTTACCTCGCTTGTAGTAAATACAGGACATGTCACCACCCCTCATTTGTTAGCCTCAGGGAAGCTTAGGAAACTGGACACAGTCCAGCCTATTGAAAATTCGTCTATGTAGAAAAAAGGTCGTAATAGTGAACCAAAGTTAAACTTTAAGCTTTTACCAGGTAAGGTAACACTTACCTGGTAAAAGGTCTGTTGTTCAAACTAGAACAAAGACATTGTGTACTCACAAACCTTGAATAAAAATAAGCTTGAAGTATAATAATGGCAAAACAAGTAATTTTGCTATTATTGTCATTCTTGGGACCCTCTGGAGCAGGTGATGTGGCGAGGAAGGCCAAATCCAAGCCAATTACAGATATAGTTTTTACTCAATTATTATGCATAACCCTATTTCTCTGTTCCTTTTATTTATCTGTTTACCCGTATTTACTATTACTGTCCTTATTATCATTATCTTTGTTATTATTAGTCATTCTTATTTAGTTATTTATGACATCTCTCCATCTATATCTCCTCTCAGTAATATCATTTTCTAGACTGAATAGAGCCTCATTCATCTCCATGTCTGACATTCATAGTTACAGAGCACATCCTTGCATGTGCAGCACGCACACACACCCTTATTGTTACTCATTTCATTAAATACAATGTTTTTTTCCTCATTTATACTGTCATTATCTCATCTTCATGCTTCAAATTTAGTGTCACGTTTAACAAAACATTTATTGTTAATTGCAATTATATTTGACGTTTGGTCTCATAGACTTTCTTTGCACTTTTTAGTGAGACTTGGCCTGTCTGCAATGTTTGAACTGCAGTAACTCATCTGAAAATCCTATTAAAGAAATGCTGAAAAAGCCCCTTTATAAAGTGGCAGGAACATCGGCGGCTCTTCAGTTTGTCACCTCCCTCCATTGAGGCCTGTAAGTGACCTCGCTGAGCTTGACCAGCACTATCATGTTGACCCAGAGAGATCTTATTACCTGCTGACACCTAGTTCACTGTCTAGTTAAATGTCATTTATATTTCAAGAAGACACAGGAGTGAGAAGAAACACAAACACAGAAAGTGCTCTCGGGCACGGTTTCTCAGAATCTTGGAAAAGACTACGGGTTTGTTGCAGTTTTGTCTCTTTGTTTCACAATAGTGGCTCAAAGTGTTGAATAAACTCATCCAAATCAAGATTTTTCAGACCAGACGCCACGGGGCAGTTTGTTGTGCTAAGTTGATGAAAGAAGAAACAGAAGGACGGCTGCTGTGTGGATGTTATTGCATTATATTTGGACACTGACACCGGTGTAATACAAAGCCATCAAAATAATGTATTCTCCTTAGTTTTACAGTATTCTAGCATCATAACCCATTTAGGTATCCATGAACTCTGAAAGAATCAAACAAAACTACAAAATAGCTTCATACATTTGGATATACAGAAAAGGCTAAACACCCAGAGTTCTTTAAGACGTGTGTTTACCTAAACCAAGTAGTTGGCGCAACATTGCCGCTGTATTTTTTTTCCTTTCAGTGAACAAACGACTGCAGGAGATGAAACTCATTTGGTCCCATTCTGCTTCAAGTGTTCTCATTTTTCAATCGCACGCACCAGAACGCAGACTTCTAACAAAGTATATAAAATGTAAGAAATAAGAAGAAATGAAGGCAGATCTATTGTCTTTTCTGTTTTTTTCTTTTTTTAAACACAACTACTCCAACTCATCACTTCTTTCTTCTTCTGTAATACTGCTCTCCATAATAAACTGCAACACAAGTTTTCATTATTCGTCAGTTATGCAAACCTTGTTTTAAAATAGACATCACGTCACCTCATATAAAAAACACACCGTCTATAAAAAAATAACAAGTCAACACGATCCACAAGCTGGAGACCGCCGTTCTTCTCTTTCTCCTAGCACATACTTCAATGAAAGTAAATGAACACTGATTTTCTCAAACACTGTCAAATGTGTGAAAGACAGTCTGCACGGTTAACTTCATTACATCACGGAGTGTGTTAACGGTAAACAAACACCTCTGGTCTTTTTAGTCAGGAGCTACAATTTACTATGACTTCTCTCCGAGAACACTCCTTTTACCTTTACTTAAAAAGAAAAGAAAGAAAAATAAAAAGGAAAACAAGCAGAATTCATTATGAGGAGAGAAATGTAACAGCACATGCTTGTAAAACTGATCCATCACAGTAACATTTAGTGTTTCAGGACGACACTGTACTTCAGGGAGACCCATGCTTGTGCAATAACAGAGTCGCTCACCAGGTACAGTGTAATCCATGCTCACTTCCGTAGTTGGTTTACAGCGCGTGCAACACAGTGCAACAATCAAAAAAAAAAGAAAAAAAGATCCATATCAATCTCGTGTGTCAGCCACTGTTTTGCCATTTCTCCCATTTTAGAAACCTGCCCCGTGTTTGGTCCACTGCCAGCAACTACAACAATGACATGCAGGTTCATGTGACGCAGTCGAAGGAAATGCTCGTTGGCGTGCTCGTATTTTCTGGGAACAGCTGGAAGACAAATAAAAGCACTTTGGAAGTCATCATAGTCACCTTCCTCTCCCGTTTACTGGATTATCCTCATTTTTAAGGATGAGTCTCCCAAAAACAAACAAAAATAAACAGTACAAACTCAAAAAAATAGAAAGAGTGCGCAGTGGAATAAAAACAAACTCGTGACGGTAGTGTTGTGGTTTTCTAGTAGTGCTCAATGTTGTGGGTGTAACAAGCACACACACAAAGCAGGTTGTTCTGCTTCGGTTCTGTCGTTAAACCCGCCCGACCTTAGCGTCTCCGATGGCGCCCCACACATCGAAAACAAACTCATCGGGGAAGGCAAAGTCTCCCAGGGTTTCATCTAAAGCCTCTGCAAACTCATCCGGGTTCTTTTTGTCTTTTCCCAGCTCCACCATGGTAGCCGCTGAGGGGAAGAAAAAAAACATAAGATCTTTTTTATCTCACATCACGCTAAGTGAGACACTCACAGAGCCATCGGGGACTCACACTCACCCAGCTCGCTGTCTCTGATGCCCATATAACTCTCGAGCAGGTCATCCACTTTCTCGATGGCCTTTTCCTCAAATGCAGAGGGCTAGAAGAACAGCAACGGGACATTTTATTTAAACAGTACAACCACCAGTTATTAGTTCACAGGTCTTGCAGGCATGCTCACCAGCTCCTCCACAGTGGCAGGCCCTTTAGAGCGAAGACGAAGGGTTCCTCTGCCGGTCCCCAGCTGAACCCCTGAAGCTGACCTAGACCCACCAGATCTCTGGCTAATCATGTCTACAAAACAGAATTAAACCTTTTCAGAAATAATTAAAGATTTCTCCCTCTGCTGCGGCAGTCTTCATCCTCTTTATTACTCTCTACTTATTACTCCCTGAGCTGGAAAACTGAAAACGTAGTTCGTTTACCACTCTAGGTTTCTGTTTAGGACATCTGATGTACTAATAAGGATGTTATTAGCACGATGAAATATATATTTGTAAGAGAGCAAGTGAAAAGGTGGGTCCAAGACGCAGACCTAGAATCCTGGCACAAAAACAAACCTGTACACCCTGTGGGGTTGCTCTACATTAGAAGTGTCAAGTCACTGTTCAAAATAACCTTTATTTACCTCATATTAGGCCTTGCCTCAGCCAAAAACTTCAATCCTTTGTCTAGAACTAGCTGTTTGACCTGCCCTCCCCCTCGCTTTAAGCCAGCTTTCTTCTGATTGGCTACCCCTCATATGTAAAGGATGTCTCTTCCTCAGTAAAATCCTACAGATCTAAGTGTACAAAAATCCCTCAATGTGTTAAGAGCAGGCCGAAACCAGACTGTTTTTTGGGGGGAAATATGCTAATGTAATTTTTTAAAAACATTTTTATCCAAATTCCCACCATATAAAACTATATATCTATAAATGATAGGAAAAACCACTTTTTTATGTCTGATACCGATACCGATATCATAAATTTGGATATCTGCCGATACCGATATGAATCCGATATAGTGTTTTTTAATCAACAAAACTGTTTTTTAAATATCTTGCTGCATTTTGTATAAGTTCATACTCAAGTTTAAAACAACAACTACACTAAAGCTATTCTGTTATACCTGTATGCAAAAAAAAATATTTCATAGTTCAGCAATACTGATCAATCTAATAAACTTAAACCTACACCATCCTCCCTATTCTGGTATTTTAAAGAGTACTTAGCATAAATATTAAGCAACCTAACTAATAGGGTTCCAACTCCCAGCAACAACAAAAATAAATAAATTAAAAATAGGGAACCACCCCTCACGCTCCACCTCATGATGCTTAATCGATGTAATCAACCTTAATTTGATGCAGTGTGAAAAAAAAATGCACAGAAATCAATTATTTTTCAAGAAATATTAAATAGATTCAACATCTTTCTTCAACAAAATTGCAGACTGCACAGATGGTACCTTCCCAAAGGAAAAAGTACTATAGCTTACTAGGGTATATATATTAGACTTAATAGTTACTATATACAGTAATGGACTTCTATACATTTTAGATCAGATTAAAACTTTGGGTGTCAGATAATTATTTATTAAAAGCTAGACATTTTAAATGAGAATAAGAAAGAAAAGTATGTCTTTGTGCCCCCTTTTCCCTGTTCATGCCCTATCGGCCCCCCTGGCTAAACTTTGCTAGATCCGCCCCTGCACAGTTACCAGCCGTCAGCTACGTAGAAAAAGATCCTGGTGTAGAAAGTAATATTAAATAAATTCTAACAACAGCTGATCAAGCTTAAACGTGCTGCTGTTGTTCAGCCGCTGGTTTCCTCTTTCTGGTGCAAAGTGGGCCAAAAGCAAACAAGAGACACGGACTCGCGACAGAAAAGCCGATCAGCTGATCATTAAGCAGTTTCATGATTGAAGTAGCAACCGGAGAGCGAGAGGCAGTCGCTCGTTAAGCTTAACGCAGGAATGCTTTACAAACATTCAGAGATGGACTTACACACTTGCTTTACTTCTCTCGGGGATAACTTTGTCGGAGATGAAATGCCGGGTTGCTAGCGAAGCTCCACATGCTATCCAGACCACCGACAGGTCCCGCATGCCACAGCCGCTCTATCACGTGATGCATACTGCTCCGACGTGCTAACGTTCTGAGGTGAGTTACGGCTTGTTGCAAGTTTTGTGAGGTGCTTTCGTGATATTTAATGGATCGGATTACATTTTTTATTTTTCTCCGATATCCGATCCAGTAATTTAGGTCAGTATCGGACCGATACCGATACGTAATATCGGATCGGTCCATCTCTAGCACCTACCAAAGGCTTTAAGAGGCTCCACCAGCTTGATGGTGAACTCCTTTCCTTTGGGAAGCTCCTTCAGCATCTTGGCCACTTCGTAGTGTCGACAGCCAATAAGGCGGTGGCCATTAATCGACTCTATCATATCCCCCACGTTGATGACCTGGATCTGGTGGATGATGCTGCCCTCACGGATCCTCTGAAAAACCATCAAAAAAAAAAATAAATCCAATTCACTATTAAGCTCATCGCTTTCTCCCTACAGCAGGTAATTGATTCACTTTCATTCCAGGGTCACGCCTTTACCTGGGGGTGCTTGAGTCAATAAGAAAACACTTTCTCCATCACTTAAACATTCCTCACCTTGATGAAAGCGTAGCCGGCTCCATTATCAGTGATCGTCAACCCCAGCGCGTCCTCGCCTTTGAACACCTCTATCTCCTTTCTCTGGCCTTTAATGTGGGCAAAAATAAAGTCCTCTAGCCCGATCTGACCTCCCAATAGTTTATCCATGTCCACCTTGTGAGTGTTCAGAGTGCAAAACATAACCTGTGAAGGAAGACAAACATCAGGTAAATTCTGCCACAAGCATATCTGGAGCAAATCTATAAATCCTCAAATCCATTAATGTCTGCAGGAAGGCTTACCTCTGACGGTGGTATCCCAAAAGCCTCGCCAATCTTGGCGTAAAGCTCCCGCACGTTACTGAAGCCCTCGATGCGGCCTGTGGGGCTGCCGTGAGCGAGCTGGGTGTGGAAGATGAGGCGAGGCCGCATGCTGTTAGGTGGCGGCGGCAGGCCTTCGGAGGTGGCGCCTTCTCCCAGCCCGACGACCCCACCATCGATGCCTTCCATACCTGGCACATTGAGACCCGCGCGGATAGGCTCCGCTTCCTCGTTCTCGACCAGCGGGGACGCCTTCTTCCTTCTTCCCAATCCCAGTGGCATAGTAGTCCTATGAGGGGTTGCAGAGGGAGAGGAAGGGAGGATGGAGGCAGCTCTGGGGAGTTATGCTACAACTTTGACCAACATACACCTGCTCAGCTAAATCAGCTGCAGGTCTTCTGGATATGTATGTCACAGTAATAGTGTTGTCCTCTAGACCAGCTTGAGAGCCGTCTCAACCACGCACTGTATGGATTTAGGAATCCACACATCAGAGCAGCTCACATAGCTGGATCTGTCAAGTCCAGCAGCCTCCAGTGGAAGGTTTTCAGCTGTAAAACCAGAGACAAAAAACTCTTTCATCTTTATACATGTACCATGGATTGTACATACGCAGTGGCATGCAAAAGTCTAGAGTCACAACTTATTTCTTTATTTTTTGTATCCAGGGAGCCAAAATTTCTTGTAATCTTGCACATTGGCTGGTTTTTTTTCTGTAATTTACAGTCAAGTCCTTGGTTCTGACTATTTTCAGGGGGCTTTGTTTTGTTTGTTTATTTCTTACCCAATTAACAATAACTTGTGAATCATTTCAAGGATAAAAAAGGCAGAGAACTTTAGCAAAGAATCTGTTTAAAACGGTCTTGAGGCACTTTGTTAAACACTGCAGCAGCCTGTCACAGAAAACACAATTTGTTCCCATTTCTTTAGATACATCTATAAAGAAGATAACACAGTCTGACAGTTATAAAATAGTATCCTTGCACAAACAAGGTGATTCTCAAGGAGCTACACGCCAAATACTTGTCATGTCCTTAGAAAATAGGAAAAAATAAAAAATCCAGCAAAGACCTGAAATGGGACCTAAAGACATGCTGAAGCTTCAATCGAGCCATCTACTGCTCAATGAAGCCTCATCAGAAATAGTCTCAGTGGAACAGTGGCTGTCAAGAAGCCATTCTTAATGAATGGAAACAGAGAGAAAAGTCTGGACTGAAATTCAATGGCATATATGACATTTTTCGTTCAAATCATCATTGATAAGTATGGAGGCGGCCAGGAGAGAGGTACAACAGTGAATGTCTACGGGAGTTTATGGCTGCAAACTGCTGATCTTGGCAAAGCGGATGGAATTCTGAATCCAGAAAATTACAATCAGAAAATTGCAATACAGTCTGGAGTGTCTAGCTGCTTTCATATTTCAGCATGACAGTGATCCCAAAAACACAGCAAAAGCAGAGGAACACTATCAGTCATGGCCTGGCCTCCGCAGACCTCAAACTTTAAGATTATTGAAGCAGAGATCATCTTGACAGCCAACATCGAAAGAGCCTGGAGAACTATTCCCACAGACTACTTAATGAAAATTACATGAAAGCCACACTCGCCTAAGAAAGTTTAGGCTGTGTTGAAGAATAAACGTAGTCATACAAAATACAGACATTCAAGCTAATTATACAAATTCTGTTTTGCCTTACATACTGTATTTCAATGGGTGTTTGCACATGTTTCAATAAATCACTGCACCCCTTCTCAATTTCCCAAACAAAATATAAAGAAACGAGGGTTGGCTTGAGACCTTTGCACAGTACTGTATAAGCTGTATAAATTGCTTCTTCTGAACACTGTCTACACATTATAGCTTGAACATTCATTACATTAGAAAACGCTAACGTTAGCTGCTAGCTCCAAGACGCAGTCAAACATCTTCCACTTGTAGCAACACAAATAACGAATAACAGTTAATACTCCAGTGGCCACTTAATCAGTTATCAGACAGTTATCAGACAGCTCATGAAACATGCAGCTGAATCTTTGACTGGCAATCCCCCATGTTAGTGAGTTACACCGTTACTCTTTCTCAAGATTGATTAGCTATCTAGCTAGCTGAATCAAGATCGCAGTAAACATGGAAGGCGAGTCATTCTTACCAGAGCACGAGTTTCAGCCAACTATCGTTAGCCTGCTAACGGTGCACTCGCAAATGACGTTACAGCTATACAGACAGTGTTTAATATTTCTTACTTCTGCGTAACGAACAGGCTAAATTGGCCTATTAAGGTTTAAGGGTACAGTGTATCTGTGTGTATGTGTGTCGGTATGCTGCTGTAGAGTTAGCTTAGTGCCAGCCCAACAGGGGTGGAACAGTGACGCATTCAAGGTTTCTCGTAAACACCAACTTTCCCCAGAGCGACTGCTTCATAGTCCGGATTTTAAAGTTTAATCAAGAAGAATAAGAACGACATGAGTGTAAAGCAATGTTTGGTTAAAATGTAGTAAAAAATCACATGGATATGTCTATTAGAGGTCTGCTATTTTGACATTTTTACAGGATCTTTGAGTCGAAGTTACATCATTACTGTCATTAAATTATATATAAATGTGTACTGTGAATGTATGAATATTATGAAGCGTTTCTTTAGTTTTTACGAAACGTTTAGATGCCGTTGTCTACTTAAACGTTTGATATTGTTGCTATTTCGCTTATGAGCGCTGATAGCTGTGAGCATACACCTCCCCCTGGAGGCCAAAATCATTTACGACAGCTGTCAATTATAAAACTTTAATTTTGAAGGTTCTTGCCGGAAGCATTTAGTGTTTCTGACGCTGACGTTTGTATGTCTAGTTCCTCGATGTGTTCTTTACAGGCGAACAAAACAAGCCCTGTAGAAACCTTTTCTTTAACAGCTTGAATGTATTAACTGGCTGCTTATGGTGTCCTTGAAAGTGACACAGTTTTTTTTTTATTCGTGCATATGATATTTCCGACTATCGAGGCAGACAGACGTATTTCCGCTTGCGGTCTTCAAAATAAAACCAACACTGCACAGTTTTAACCACGAAATTGCTATTTTTATCTGAATGGAAGATATCTAGATGATATCTAATCTGAATTCTGTTCATTTTTACACAGTAAATAAAAAAGAGACAAGGACACTTTAATACAACGGGAATAATTACATGGTTTCTTTGAACAATTCAAATAAGACTAATACAGAAACTTATTAAAAATCCCAAAAAGTTGATTCTGTTCTTCTACTGAAAACGCTACTTCCAGATGAATAGAATCAATCTTTTGGGATTTACTTACCTGGATGA